AAACTTTGCAAAAAGCCAAAATAAGCCAGTGCAGCCTGAACACTAGCATATTTAAAAATTACAACAACAAACCTTTAAAATAGGTCCATTAAACTTGTGTGATTTATATAATACACATAATATGGTATACATAAATGTATTAAATTGCATGACATGCAGAAACAGTAGGAAAAGAAAAAACTAGACCTAATGATACATTGAAACACATGACATGATTTGGAAGCAGAAAACTTTAAGATTAAGAAATTAAGTTTACTAATAGGAAAGTGAAATATTATAGACAAAAAGAAATCCAGTTACTTGCAACATACTTGGCCTGAATGGAAGACATTTGCAAACTATTAGCTATTCATAAAACTGAACAGTAAGATCAAAGTTAGAGCAAAATAAGAGACAGAAAAGCTTCTGCCCGTTGCCAACTGTGCAGGAGGCTTTCGGAAGAGCCAATTTCTCTCAGTTTAGAAGGGAACACAGGTAAGTGGGGGCAGTTTTGTTATTATCATGTCAAATTTAATATATACTTAAAAGCCTACATAAGAGACGTTCATGATTTCACATACAATCCTTTTTTCTGTTGTTTGTATTTTAAGTAGTTCACATTTGTTAAGTTTATAATTTAAAGACATTTAAAAGAGGAACAACTGCTTGCCAGGGCTCTGGGGAAGATCCTAATGATTTTCCATTCTAAATTCACAAAAACTGGTATCTTTATGTGGATTTGGAAAAAGAAGCTGGAATCATGGAGCAATCTTAGACTTGAGCAATTAAAGTTCAGATTTATGCTGGGCCTGATAGATTAGTAGGGGACAATTATCAACCACGGCACAGTTGTTCATAGTAAATGATGGACAATAGTATTATATTCTTGCAGTGGTGACATTACTGATAGTTTATACTGGTTTTTTTCCCTTTATTTTTCTTATAATAGTATTTTTTTTTCCAATTACATGTAAAGACAATTTTTAACATTCATTTTTTGAAAGATTTTGAGTTCCAAATTTTCCTTCCTCCCTTCTTTCCCCTTCCTCTCCCCAGGACAGCAAGCAATCCAATATAGGCTATACATGTTATGCTGGTTTTTAAATTTTTAGGCAACCGGGGTTAAGTGACTTGCCCAGGGTCACATAGCTAGTAATTGTCAAGTGTTTGGTCTGAGGCCAGATTTGAATTCAGGTCCTTCTGACTTTAGGGCCAGTGCTCTATCCACTGCGGCACCTAGCTGCTCCTTGTTTTTTTTTCCAATGCAACCACTACAGAATGTCAAAACTCAAAAACAAGTGCATGTTTTTTTTTTTTAATAATGTAGGAAATTTGGAAATGTATTCAATTTAACTGGTATTTGATGGAATTAAGTTGTTTCATGTTTTATATTTCAAATGTTCAGATCATTGACATTGATGCTGCTTATAAGTTTCAAGTATTATGGTTTTTATTAAGTATTATAAGCTATGTTGTTAATATTTGGGTATGATACCTAGTGATGCTTCTATCATATTAAGGGAGTCAGAATCCTCTTCGGTCTGAGGACTACAATAGCTTTATGATTCTAAGCCTTCTACTATGAAACATTTGTCTGGGAGACATGGTGATCTCTGGTAAATGATTAAATATTTAACGGTGTAGATGTTGATACATCAAGAATTATTTTGTTTTTTGCAAAGTTAAAAGGCAATAAGAATTATCTAGAAATGGTCCATATACTGAAAAAAACTGTCAGAAATAGAAAAAAATTTAAGTACAATTAGGAGTGAAGCAGACCTTAACTAATCATGATCCCAAATGAGTGGCTTCCAACAGAATGAAGGACAAGTGCATTTATAGCTAATAAATTCAGGTGGCTGGAACATCTTTATAAATGTTAAGCCTAAAAATAAACTGAAACCAGAAATGCTATCAGTAGTCCTCTGGACACGGTAATTAGAAAATTGGATTTGTATTTTAAAACTTCAGATTATGTTAAGAAGGCTTCGTGGATATAAAATTTATACAACTAGATACGAATATCTGCACAAATCATCAAAAGTTATCTAAGTTCTGTTCCTCTTTTCCAATCAGATGGGAGGATGGAGCTCTAGAGAAGTTTATTAGAATCTGGTAATGAATTCAGATCTTTTTTCCTTTGCAATAATGAGTATATAGAATCAATTTTAAGAACATAAAAAGCATAGTTTGAAGAACATGTAATTCACAAGTAGCAGGACTATATGGAATGTTACCAAAACTAATGGCTGCTTATATTGCAAATTTGGGTATTTGTTTCTGGGAAACTGAACCCTATGGACTGAATGCTAATGTTTTGTCATCTACAATGCTGCAAACAAATCCCAGTATCTGCTGGTATAGTTGTTAACTTAAAGACAATTGAATCTCATCTTACTTGGAAGAATTGGAACTTTCTTATGAGGTGGAATCCCTAGGCTAAGTCTGACTTATTGCTTATGATCTTGGTAAAAGTATTTATGTAGACAAATCAGTAATTCATCCTGCAAAGACAAAATGCCAGCAGCTGCCAAGTGGGAATTGTATAGCACATCCATAATTAAACCCATTCCATGTGAACGTAGATTGCTGGGAAGGTCAGGCAATCTCGACAATCTCACTAAGGCAGTCATGGGATCCCCTTGACATATTTCTCATTATTCATCTCTTCTTTGAACAGGTGTCCTACCTTTCAGATCACAAGCCCTTGAGTAATATGAAGTAATGATGCATCAATCAATTGCTCCATAAAAATCCCTGACCATTGCCTGGGATCAATTGAGGAGGCTCTGCTCCAACATACCTATTAAAGGTCACTCTGTGACTTTCTCCAACAGCTCAATAGGGGTATAACAATGTTCTCTTTTATGTACTCTCTAGCAGTGAAGTCCTCTGACCAACGAAGGCAATATCCCCAAATCCTTAGGAGGTTTGTTCTCACTAAGTAGCCCTGAATCCACGATGAGGATTCAGATGGCATCTTGTAAAGCTAGATCTTAAATCTGTTATTTCTCCAGTCTCCAGGATATTTTCCTTCCTTCTCCCTTGAGTTCAATGCCTGGTCTACAGAATTTCCACCATAACTCCTGCCCTCCTACTAGAGGACTTCAACATACATACCAAGGCTCCTTTAAATACACTAACTTCACAGCTCTCCTCTGTTCCACCTCAGCTGCATGGACCTTGATCTTGTCATCACCCATAAGAATTCCACCTCCACGTTTATGAACTTAAAGTTCTTTTATCTGATCATAATCTTTTGTCATTCCCTCTCTCCCTATGCCTTATGACCCTAACCCTGTTCTGCATCCTCAGTGTGATCTCCAGTGTCTCCATTCCTCAGTTCTTTTATGAGCCATAATCTTGCACTGGCTAGACCATCCGGCCTTTCTTATCTTGACCTCTTGATCAATCAGTCTGATACTATCCTTTACATTCAAATTCTTTGCTCCCTTGTCCAACCACTGTTTACACCTTGCTAAGACGCAACCCTAGATCCAACCCAACCTGGATCCTGGACCTCCTTCATTCCTATTCATATGCTACTGAATGGAGCTGGAGGAAATCATGATGACTTGGCCCATTACAGATTTGTTAACAGAACCTTAAACAGGTCCTCAATGCAGTTAGCCAGTCTTTTTATATCACCCTAACTGATTTGTGATCTCACTCACTCCAGTGGCTATTCCAAACCTTCCACCATCATCTTTCCAGTCACCAGGGCCTACAACCTTGAAACAACTGATTCCTCACTTGCCCTCTCACCAATATCCAATGTGTTGTCAAGTCTTGTCATTTCTATCTTCCCAACCCCTTGTATAGACAGTTCTCTCCACTCACATAGTAACCACCACAGTGAAGGCTCTCACCATCTATACCTAGCCTGTTGCAACAGCCTTTCTATTGGCCTTCTTGCCCATTGGCCTTCTTGCCAAGTCTCCCCATTCCAATCCATTCTCCCCTCAGGTAACAAAGTGATTTTCCGAAAGCATAAGTCTTGCCCCACCCCCCTCAATAAACTCCAATGGCTCCCAATTACCTCCATGATCAAATGCTCTGTGAATGCTGTCTTTGGCATTTAAAGACTTTTACAAACTAGCCTCTTCCTCATTTGCTGTCTTCTTAAAATCCACTCCCTTATCCACACAGTAAATTAAACAGCTACACTGCTTACTCACTATTCCACACACATGACACGCCATTCCCATCTGTGTGCCTTTTCACTGTCTGTTATGCCTGGAATGCCTTCTTCCTCCTCTCCACTTCCCGGCTTTCCTAGTTTCCTTCAGGATTCAGCTCAAATTCTACCTTCTTCAGGTCATTCCCAGTCCCACACCACTCCCTCCTAGTGTATTCTCTCCAAGATTACCTTCTAGTTATTCGCACACCGTCTCCTCCACTGGGGCAGCTGGCAGATAGAGTGCCAGCCCTGGAGTGAGGAGGACTTGAGTTCAAATCCGGCCTCAGACATTTACTAGCTGTATAACCCTGGGCAAATCACTTTACCCCGTTTGCCCCAGTTTGCTCATCTGTAAAATGAGCTGGAGAAGGAGATGACAAACCACTCCAGTATTTCTGCCAAGAAAACCACAAATGGGGTCACAAACAGTTGGACACCACTGAAACGACTGAACAACAAACTCCTCCATTAGAATGTGAGCTCCCTGAGGGCAAGAGCTGTGTTTTTGCTTCTTTTTATCCCCAGTGCTTAGCAAAGTGCCTGGCACATAGTAAACACTTAATAACAGCTGACTAACTGTGTCTTGGGGGTAGCTATGGTCAATCTCACCTCATATCAGTGCATTCATTAGAATGCAGATGTCTTTTCCACAACATAGGTGCAGTTTCTTCTAAGTAACTCTTAAGGATGTCCTTCAAGATCAGGTTCCAGAAACTGAGAGATGCCTGGAGTCTGGCAAGGTGCCTTTTGTAACCCAAACATAGTTACACCCCCATCTTACTCCCATACTTTGCTCATATGTACTAAGGCATAACACACATAAGAGGGTAGATGACTGAAATAGTTATGTATTCATGTCACTCATTTAATTAGAAGATCTTAATTTTTTCATCACACATGAATTTGAGATATATTAGAAATCCATCCCATTGAGTTCATGAACAAAAGCTCTTGGGAAAGAAATAAGAGCAGACAGGGTGAGAAGTTTCAGCGAACTGGATAAAAGTCTTCAAGAATTTCAGCATAAGTTTTCTTTTCTACAAAAGAAAAGGATAATATAAGATGAGTACTTTAAATATTTTCATTAGAAGTCTAGTTTAAATTTTCTCTATGTATTTAAAGGTGTCACTACTTTAATAGGAATACACATATTTAAAAGTGTCACTCAGAAATTTTCCAGAGCAATTGGTTAGAAAGATTTTGCTGTTGCTTGCCTTTACAGTACTGGGTTGGGGGTGAAGGGGGTGAGGTAAGGTTATTAGTTTGACTGCAGTGCTGCTGTGTGGAAGATAGGGGGGAGGAGAAAGAGAAGCACTGACTCCATCAGTTAGGAGAGGGCAAGCAGCCAGGCACATTCAAATGTCTTTGAGCTCTGGTTTCCAAAATAAGTGGCTCACAGCCATCAGTTGTTCAGAACTACAGCAGGACATAATATTTACACCAGATTTTAAACTGAATCTTTTAGCTTTCCCAAACTAATGAAGTCCGCTAATCCCACATTCCTATTCCTGTAAATTTTTTCTAAAGATGTTATAAGAAAAAAAAAAAACAAACAAACCCTCAAATCTGGATCCCATGCCAGGCTACAATACCATGTACTGACAGAATCTTGGGGAAGTTACTTTGGCTTTGTGGGACCTGAGTCCCTTTATCTGAAAAGTGAGGGGCTCCATCTGACTAACCAACAGTCGCACAAATTGTGGCACATGAATGAGATGGAATGTTACTTCATCAGCACACTAGATAAACATGAAGAATTTAGTGACACATTGGGTAACTTAGGAATTGAAGCAGAATCAGGAAAATAACATTTATAATCACTAATGCAATAATAATGCAAATGGAAAGAACAACAAAACTGAATGCCGTGTAATTCTAATTCTGGCTCCAGAAAAGAATTAAGAAAAAGCATATTCACTAGCTTTACGTGGTTTAGGGAGGACTTTGTGTGTAGAATATTCTATATACTATCAGACAGTGATGTTTGGGTGGTTTTGTGGGGCTTTCCCTGCACCACCCCCTCCTTTTAAAATCTTTTTTTATAGGGAAAGGCTCACCGGAAGAAAGGAATAGATCTGGAAATGAATGGGATATAGAAACAAAAAGCAGCAGTAAAAAAAAAAACGAGAAGGTCAAACTAGATGATAATTGAAATCTCTTTGAGCTCTAAAATTGTCTAACTGCCTGTAAATAAGGATGCTGATAGTGGTATGAGAGTGAAAAACTGGACGCCTAAATGTCCAAGAAAGGGGAACAATGGAGCAAATTATGGACCATCAATGTAACAGATAACTATGGCACCATGAAAAATGATGAATGTGAAAGGACATAGAAAATAATGAAAAGAAAGTGAAAGCAGAAGAACCTTATATACATGAAGGCACACAAATATGAAAAGAATTGTATACTGAATACTGTTTTATATTGGTTTGTTTACTATGTTAGACTCAGAAATTATATATATATTTTTTGCTTTTTGGTGAGGCAATTGGGGTTCAGTGACTTGCCCAGGGTCACACAGCTAGTAAGTGTCATGTGTCTGCGACTGGATTTGAACTCATGTCCTTCTGACTTCAAGGCCAGAGCTCTATCCACTGCGCAACCTAGCTGCCCCAGAAATAATTTTTTTTTAAAAGACTAGCATTTTTTGTCTAAATAAAAACCACTAAGTATTTGTTTGAAAACAAACTTAATACACTAGACTGTATATCCAGAAGATCTGGGTTATAATTATTGTTCCATCACTTATCAGCTGTGTGACTTCAGGCAAGAAACAACCTGAACCTCAGTCTCCTCATATACAAAATGGGAACACTATTACTTGCACTGCCTATCTCACAGGGCTGTTGTGATAATTAAATCAAATGTAACTCAAGCTCCAAAATGACTCTGGGCTCACAGAGATCAATATAATTCTGGGAACTTCTGGTGTTAACTGGGACCTAAATCATTTTGTAGGCATACTGGCAAGCTCAGGCTTTAAAGGACATTGGAACAATAAAATATTTATTCGGGACAAAAATTAATACTACACCAATAGAATACAAATAAAACCAACATTCCCAAGGAGTCCAGTCTCATCCCTCTTTCTGCTCTGGTAGAAGCAATATAATATATAACGCCCTGCCACATAGGCAGGCTAGTTTTTCCCTAAAAGGCAGGGAAGCCGTCCCTAAGACCTGACTGGTCAATCCAAAAGGCTAATGCTTGACCCCAATATTAATTATTCTTGCTTTTTTGTCATATTTGCCAACTTATTGGGTATGAAATGCAACCTATGAATTGTTTTAATATGCATTTTTCTTATTACTAGTGATATGGAACCATCTTTCACGTGGCTATTTAGATTATGTAATTCTTTTTTTTTTTTAAGACTATGTAATTCTTTTGAAAATTTTTGCTCATATCAACCAGGACAGACTAAAGGACTTTATTTCTATGACTTTATGACACATACTTCATATTACATAGTCTCATGTATAGTCATGTATAGTCTCATGTATAGTTAAATAATACTTAACTTCAGCATTTTCTGAAAATTAAAATACCTACCCTTTTCTTCAAAATCTTCTGGATGCAATTTCATATACTGAAACATATCACGGTCCCTTTCAGCATACTTAAAATCTTGGCGTTTAATAAGGTAATATCCCACAAAAAAGAATGAAGTGACATACAGGAGCTGGCGATGTAAACCTGAAATTCATGAAAAACCAAAACCAAAAGATAAATGGAAATCAGGTTTTGTGATGAAGAAAAAATTGCATTTAAAAATCATGCAAATGGCAGTCTTTTTTTTCCCTATTACTCTCAAAGCATTTGAATAAAAATCTCCCAATCCATTCATTCATTCTGCTACTGGGCATCTGCTGTGCAAGGCACGGTAGGAGATACAAAGATGACTGGCATAGAAAAAAAGAACACAAGTGGAGGCCCGGTTTCAGCTCCTGCTCCAATATTTATCTGCATAATTTAGCTTGGGCAAATCATCTTTCATTCGGAGGCCTCTGTTTCCTCATCTTCAAATGAGAAAGACTGGTTAAGATGATCTCTAAAGTCACTTTTAACTCTAAAAGAATAAGGTCAAATCTGTTCATATCTCAGATTCCCTGAAATTTTTTTCTGGGGAAACAAGAAGAATCTGCTTGTCATAACACAAAATGCAAGAGTTCCTTTGAAATGAACCAAAATTTGTATGCAAGTCAAGAATTTCTTAAGCACCTACGATGTGCCAGACATCGTGCCTGAGGATACAAAGAAAGACAAAAACAAGTTCTGTCCTCAAGAAGCTCACAACCCAATGGGGAGAGACAACATATAAACAACTATGTACAATCAAGATACGTGTGTGTGTGTGTGTGTGTGTGTATGTGTCTATGATAAATTGGAGATAATCTCAGACAGAAGACACTAACATTAAGAAGACTAGGAAAGGCTCCTTGTGGAGGGTGAGATTTTAGCTGAAATTTAAAGGAAGTGGGGGAAGCCAGGAGGCAGAGATGAGGGGGCAGGAATTTCAGGCATGGGAGACAGTCAGTGAAAATGCACTGAGTTTGGAAATGTCTTTTTCACGTAAAAACAAGGAGGTCAAGGTCATTGGATTGAAGAGTCCATGGAGAGAAGGTGTAAGAAGACTGGAAAGGCAGGAAGAGGCCAGGTTATGAAGGACTTTAAAAGTCAAAGAGAGGAGTTCAGCTTTGATCCTGGAGGCCATAGGGAACCAACTACGGTTGTGGTGTCAAATTCAAATAGAAACGGGGGCTATTCAACTGTACATAAAGATCTCAGCTGCATATTGACTTAGAAAACTAAATATTATCTATGTTTTTGTCTACAGTAACAGTAATACTGTATGATGATCAATTGTGAATGACTTAGCTACTTTCAGCAATACAATAATCCATGGCAATTCCAAAGAATGCATGATGAAAAATGTCATCTGCATCTACAGGAAAGAACTGATGGAAGTCTGAATGTAGATTGAAGCATACTAGTTTTCACTTTATTTTTTCATGGATTGTCTTTGGTCTATTTTCTTTCACAACATGACTAATATGGAAATATTTTGCATGATTGCACATGTATAACCTATATAAAATTGCTTACCCTCTCAGGGAAGGTGGAGGAAAGGGAGAGAATTTGGAACTCAAAAAATTTTTTTCTTTAGATTTTTATTAACTTATTTTTAGTTTTTAACAATCACTTCCATATGCTTTTGAGTTTTAAATTTTTCTCCCCCTCCCTCCCCTTCAATGGTGTGCAATCTAATATAGGTTCTACATATACATTCCTATTAAATGTATTTTCACATTGGTCATGTTGTAAGGAAGAATTAGAACCAATGGGAGGAACTATAAGAAAGAGGAAACAAAACAAAACATAAGAAAAAAAAAGAGCAAATAGTATGCTTTGATCTGCATTCAAATTCCATAGTTCTTTCTCTGGACGTGGACAGCATTTTCCAGCATGAGCCTTTTGGAGATGTCTTAGATCCTTGCATTGCTGAGAAGGGCTAAGTCTATCAAAGTTAGTCATAGCACAACGTGACTGTTACTGTGTACAAAGTTCTCCTGGTTCTGCTCACTTCACTCAGCATCAGTCCATACAAGTCTTTCCAAGTTTTTCTGAAGTCCCCTGCTCCTCATTTCTTTTTTTTTTTGGTTAGGCAATGGGGTTAAGTGACTTGCCCAGAGTCACACAGCTAGTAAGTATTATGTGTTGGAGGCCAGATTTGTATTCAGGTCGTCCTGAATCCAGGGCCGGTGCTCTATCCACTGCGCCACCTAGCTTCCCCCCTCATCATTTCATATAGCACAATAGTATCCCATTACATTCATATACCACAACTTGTTCAGCTATTCCCCAACTGATAGGCATCCCCTCAATTTCCAATTCTTTGCCACCACAAATAGAGCTGCCGTAAATATTTTTATACATGTGGGTCCTTTTCCCATTTGTATGATCTCTTTGGGTACAGCCCTAGAAGTGCTATTGCTGGGTCAAAGGGTATGCACATTTTTATATTCCTTTGGGCATAGTTCCAAATTGCTCTCCAAAATGGTTGGATCATAGGGCAGCCAGGTGTTGTAGTGACTAGAGCTCTGACCTTGGAGTCAGGAGGACGTGAGTTCAAATCCAGCCTCAGACACTTGACACTAGCTGTGTGACCCTGGGCAAATCACTTAACCCTGATTGCCTCACCAAAAAAAAAAAAAAAAAAGCACTATTGTTTTGTGGCAGCTAGGTGGCGCAGTGATAGAGCACCAGCCCTAAAGTCAGGAGGATCTGAGTTCAAATCCGACCTCACATCAAACACTTGACACTTACTAGCTGTGTGACCCTGGGCAAGTCACTTAACCCCAATTGCCTAAAAACAAAACAAACAAACAAACAAAATGGCTGGATCATTTCACAACTCCACCAACAATGCATTAGTGTTCCACTTTTCCTACATCTTCTCCAGCAGTTATCATTTTCCTGTTTTGTCATGTTGGCCAATCTGATAGGTGTGATGTGGTACCTCAGAGTTGTTTTGATTTGCATTTCTCTAAGCAATAGTGATTTAGAGCATTTTTTCTTCATCTGAAAATTGCCTGTTCATATCCATTGACCTTTTATCAATTGGGGAATGACTTGTATTCTTATAAATTTGACTTAGTTCTCTATATATTTTAGAAATGAGGCCCTTATCAGAGATAAGGGTTGTAAAAATTCTTTCCCAGTTTTCTGCTTCCCTCCTAATCTTGGTTGCATTGGCTTTGTTTATGCAACTCAAAAAAATTTTTAAATGAATGTTAAAAATGGTTTTTACATGTAATTGGGGAAAAAATAAAATATTATTTTAAAAAAGATATATGAAGAGAGTACTGCCTCCGTTAAAGGTCCATAAATAAAATTATAATGAAATAAAAATAATGTTTATGTTTTATTAAGCTTTTTTTTTCTCCCAAATATTTTACTATTTCCCAATTACATTTTAATCTGGTTTGGGTTGCACTCAGGAGTGTGGTGGGTCATGTGTCTGACATCTATGCACTAGAGATTATTGAATGGAGATGACTTGCTCTTTAGGAAGATCACTTTAATAGATGAGTGGGGGATGAACTGGAGTTGGGAGAGACTAGGCAGAAAAGCCAACCAGAAGGCTTCCGTAACAGTCCAAGATTAAGGTGATGAGGGCTTGTCTTGGTGGTGGTGTCTGAGGAAAGAAGGTATACACTAGAGATGTTCCAAAGGCAGACTTTACAGAGCTTGGCGACACATTAGATATTGGGGGTGGGGGGGTGGGAGAAAAAGCATTGAGAGTTAGGAGTTGAAGGTTGAGGAAGACATCTCGGTTATGAGTCTGGGTGACTGGGAGGATGGTGATGGCCTTGACAGTAATAGGAAAGTTAAGAAGAGGGGAGGGTTTGAGGGGAAAGATAATGAGTTCAGTTTTTGACATGTTAAGTAAGATTTCTACAGACCCACCAGCAGGTTGTTGCAGTAGTCTAGACATGAGGTGATGAGGGTCTGTACTGTGGTGGTGGTAGTTATCAGAAAAGACAAGAAGGCATATTTGAGAGATTTTACAAAGGTGAAATCATAAAGCTGTGGCAGCAAATTGGATGGAGGCTGGGGGTGAAGAGAAAGGTGTGTGTGTGAGAGAGGAAGCCAGGAGTTGAGAATGACACATAGGTTGTAAACCTGAGAGATTGGGAAGGCAGTGCGCATTTAGGGTTAGGGTCAGAAACGAATTTAGGGTTAGTAATAGGGAAGTCTGGAAGATAGGAAGATTTTGGGGAAAGATAATTAGTTCAGTTTTAGGTGTAATAAGTTTAAGATATCCTAGAGACATCCTGTTTAAGATGTCTAATAGGCAACTGGAGATGTCAGTAGAGAAATTAGGGCTGGATAAGAAGATTTGTGACTCATCAGTATGAAGATAATTTGAATCCATGGTAGCTGATAAAATTACCAAGTGACATAGTAAAAAAAACTAAGAGAAGAGGGTCCAGAATTGAACCTTGTGCAACACCTGTGTTTAGGGGGTGTGATCTGGATGAGGATCCAGCAAAAGAGACTGAGAAGGAGCAGTCTGAGAGGTAAGAGGAGAAGTGTGAGTATGGGGGGAATCCTGAAAACCTAGAGAAATGATTGTGGAGGAGGGTGAAAAATAGTATCAAAGACTGCAGAGAGGTCAAGAAATACAAGGATTGAGAAAAAGACACTGGATTTAATAATTAAGAGATCACTGGTAACGTTGGAGAGAGCAGTTTTGATTGAATGATGAGGTGAGAAGCCCGATCATAGGGAGTTATGAAAAGAGTGAGAGGAGAGGAAATGGAGGCACTTATTTTAGACGGACATCTCAAGGAGTTTAGCTGCAAAATACAGGAGAATTATGGGAGGATAGTTAGTGGGAATGGAAGGATCAAGTGAGGGTTTATTTTTTGAGGATAGGGGAGACATGGACATGTTTGTATGCAGCAGGAAAGCAGTCAGGAGAAAGGGAGAGATTGAAGATAAGTGAGAGAGTGAGGATGATAGAAGGGGCAATCTGCTGGGGAAGATGGGATGGCACAAGATCACTCTCCACAGTGATTGTTCTCTCCAGGCCTCCCACAGCTTCCCCCCACACCCTGTGCTCACACTTAACCAAAAAAACTGAGGCCATTCTTTGAGAGCTCCCAGGCTCCAATTCTCCTCCTCATGCATCACTCAGATGGCTTTCCCTCATTGTCCTTCACTTAGATGTCAGATGAAGAGTCCCTTTTCCTTGCCAAGGAAAACCCCCCTTCAGGCACCCTCAATCTCTTCTCCTCTCACCTTTTCCAGGAGACTGCTTCCAGTATCATTCTCAATCTCTTCAAGAGATATTTATTGTGTCCCTCCCCAATGCCTATAAACACACATGTCTCCCACACCCTTAAAACCCCTTACCTGAACAGACCATCCCTGCTAACCATTGCCCCATTTGTCTCTTTCCCTTTCTGGCTAAGCTCCTTGAGAAAGTAGGTACCTCTACTCCCTCTTCTCTACTCCCTTCTAAGCCCTATGCAGCCTGGCTTCCAACCTTATCATTCAATGGAAAATGCCTTTTCCAAAGTTCCAAAATATTTTCTGGCCAATTCTAATGTCCTTTTTTCAATCCTCATCCTCCTTGACCTCTCTGCAATATTTGATCCTCTTCTCCTAGATATTCTCCCCTCTTTAGGCATTAGTGACAATGTTCTCTCCTGATTTTCCTCCTACCTGTCTGACTGTTCTTCAGTCTCCTTTACTGGATCTTCATCTATGTCATGTGACAATGGGGGTCCCCCAAGGCTCTACACTGGGCCTCTTCTATTTTTCCTCTACATTATCTCACTTAGTCATCTCTTAAGCTCCTATGGAATCAAGGATCATCTCTACACAGATGATGTCCACATCTATATATCCAGCCCTAGTCACTCTCCTGAGACCTAGCCCTACATTACTAACATCTCAAACTGGATGTTCCATAAGCATTTCAAAGACAGTATGTCCAAAATAGAACTCACTATCTTCCCCCTTAAACCTTCACCTCTTTCCAGCTTTCGTATTCTAGGGCTCTATCATCTTCCCAGGCACCAAGACTCCTCATTTGCCCCTTCTCTCCACTCAGAGACACCTTGTTTCTAGACTACTGTAGTCACCTTCCTGCTTCAACTCTTTCCTTACTCCAATTCATCCTCCACTCAGCTGACAAAATAATTTTCTTAAAGCTTAGGTCTGATCATGTTATAACCCCCCACTCAATAAACTCGTTGCGTACCAAGGAACCTGGCACTATAGCAACTCAATAAATGCTAGCTGACTACTACCTCTAGGATCAAATATAAAGCACATAAAGCATTTAAAGCTCTTCATAACCTGGGAAACCCAAAGGAAGAAGGAAGGAGCAAGGCATAGGAGACAGCCAGTGCAAAGGCACAATGTCAGGCAGGGAATGTCACATGTGAGTAACTGCAAGTTGTTCATGCAGCTGGATCATAGAGTTCCTGGAGGGAAGTAAGGTATAAGAAGACTAGAAAGATAAGAGGGGGCCAACCAGGTTAAGGTTGTGAACTGGTAGTGAAGTGGATACAGCACCAGGCCCTGATTTAGGAAAGACCTAATTTCAAATCTGGCCTCAAGACACTAGCTGTGTGACCCTGGGCACGTCACTTAACCCTGTTTGCCTCAGTTTCCACATCTGTAAAATGAGATGGAGAAGGAAATGGCAAACCACTCCAGTATCTTTGGCAAGAAAACCCCCAGTGGGGTCACAAAGAGTCACACACAACTGAACAGCAACAAGAAGACCAAGACAGAGAAACCCCGGGAGGGGAAACAACTTTCCCGGGGTCACAGCTCACATTAGTGACAACCACTAACTGTGGAGTCTCAGCTCCCCTTCTGACACCCCCTCCCCATTCACCGTGCAGACGCTGCCTCTCAGGGAAGTGACCCACCCAAACACCCAAACGAAGAGGAGGACACTAGAACCCAGGGCCCTGGTCCAGTGAGGCGCAGGCTTCCAAAGCACTTCCCCGCCCCCACGCGCCCAGAACCGTGCATGCGCGCCTCTCAATCCCCGGTCAGCAGATGCACTTGAGCCCGAGCCCCGGACCCCCGACTCGTGCACGCGCCTCCCACCCCCCTCCCACCCCCAGTCTCGTGCACGCGCGCCCCAGCCGCGTCCTCACCAGCGGTCACCACCGGCCGGCGATTGAGCAGGTTATCCAACAGCCCCGCGCAGTACCCCATGAAGCCCGTGTAGAGGATCCGCGGGTCCGTCAGCTTCGGCGGTGGCAGGCTCCGGGCCTCATCGGGCAGGAACTGCAGCGGGATGGAATTGGGCCTCACACTCATCTCGACAAGCCCACGGCCGCCGCCGCCTCCTCCTTTGGCCAAGGTGAAGGGCACCGCGCGGTGCACCGAGAAAAGGCGTCCCCCCGGCTGCGCAACGTCCGGGGCCGCCGCACCAAGGTTCCGCCGTTCGAAAAGGCCCGCCCCCTTTCCCTCTGCTGGCGGAAGGGAAAAGGACGCGGCCGCAGTGGTTCTGCGAGAAAGCAGGACCGTGAAGCCCGCGGAGGGCAGAGTTGGAATAAAGCCAAGTTTTCTGACTCCTAAGTTAGTACTAAAATCACCTCTGCTGTGTGTAGTAATTATTTACACAGACTTCCCATCTCCTTTGGTGAGCCCCTCAAGGGCACGTCAGAGGGGGCTACGTGGACTTTACATTTCAACCGAAAACATTTATGAAATTAAAAAAAAACCATTTTAATAAGAACATAATTACTAACACACATGAACATTTCAGCATACAGAGAAGAGCGGTAAAAGAAAAAACTTGTCTTCTGCCCAAACACTTTTACACACCATTCCCTGATTATCCCGTCTCTCATTTCAGGACTCGTTCATAGGAAGAGTCGCCATGGGAACGGACCTCAGCGGGAGGGCACGTGGTCCCATCTGCGGCTGCGCAGGAATCCCCTCTGCAGAACGCGAGATGGGGCGGGGGGAGGTGTCTAGCCTTGCACCCCGCAACCTCCCGAGGGAGCCAGCTCTACTTTTGGACAGCTCCCAATGAAATCCAGCCTAAAGCTGCCACTCTGCAACTTCCACTTCTGTTGTTGGGGACAAATAGAACAGGTCTAGTCTCTCAATCTTTTTTTTTATTAATTTATTTTAATTTCTCAACAATCATTTCCATAAACTTTTGAGTTTTAAATTTTTTCTTCCCCTCCCTCCCCACCACCCTCCCCAAGACGGCTCACAATCTGATATGGTCTATACATATACATTCCTATTAAACATATTTTCACATTAGTGATGTTGTAACGAAGAATTAGAACCAATAGAAGGAACCACAAGAAAGAGAAAACAAAACAAAACAGAAGAAAAAAATAGCAAATAGTATGCTTCGATCTGCATGCAAACTCCATAGTTCTTTCTTTGGATGTGGATGGCATTTTCCATCATGAGGCCTTTGGAGAGGTCTTAGATCCTTGCATTGCTGAGAAGGGCTAAGTCTGTCAATATTAGTCGTCACACAACGTGGCTGTGGGTCTAGTCTCTTTTCCATCAGCACTTCAAATACTTGGAGACAGCTAGTATGTACCCCAGAGACCTCTTTTCCAAGCAAAACATTCTCTGTTCTCTTAACCACTTCTCTTATGACAAGACCTTAAAGCTTGACTATGTAGCAGCTGGAAGTGTAATGGATACAGAGGTGAACCTGGAGTCAATAAGACCTGAGCTCGAATCCAACTTCAGACACTAGCTGTGCAACCCTGGGCAAGTCACTTAATCTCTTCCTCAGTTTCTTCAGTCATAAAATGTGGGTAGTACTAACATCTACCCTCCTTCCAGGGTTGTTGTAAGGATCAAATGAGATCATTGTAAAGTGCTTAGCACAATACCTGGCACATAGTAAGAGTAAATGTTAGCTATTATTATTCTGGTTGTCCTCTCGGGGTACTGTCCAGCTTATCAATTTCTTTCTGAAAATATAGAAAGAATTGAAGTATAGTGGGAAGAGCTCTGATCTGAGAGACTGGAAATTTGGTCTTAGTCCCAAATGAATCACTCTTTGGGGATTGTTTCCTCATCTGTAAAATGAGAGGACAGACAACAGCATAAAAGAAAATTATCTTGAAAGACTTCAGAACTCTGGTCAATGTGGTGACTTTAGAAGACTGATGAGAAAGCACAAATCTATTGTCTCTGGAGAGAGAAATGATGGAGTAGAGGTGTACAATGGATTATACACAGGGTGTCCCAAAAGTCTTAGTGCAGTTTTTAAGCTTTGGTAGCTTAAGACTTTTGTATGTAATCCATTCTGCACTAAAACTTTTGGAACACTCTGTGTACATCAAGACTTTTGGGACACTTTGTAGAGCCCATTCTGCACTAAGACTTTTGGGACACTGTGTATTCAGACATGGCCAGTTTTGTTTGACTTGAGGATTTGTTTTGCTTGCTTATTCTCATTTCTTACAAATGAACTTCTATGGAGGGGGTGTGAGTTAATGGCTAGTGACACAGATTCCTCTCCAAAAAAGAGCATCAATGGGATAATTAAAGTTTAAAAGTACAGCAAAGACATTGAGAAGGTGATAAAAGAGGACAACTTTGTTATTATTTTGTTAAATTTAATATATACACTTTAAAAAATAAACTATATGTAATATGTTTATGGGTTTGTACACTATCCTGCTTTTTTCTTCATATTCTTCAAATATTTGTTGATGATTAAGTTCTTAGTGAAAACATTTAAACGGGAGGGGTGTCTGCTTATATGGCCTCTTGGATCCCATCCAACTCAAATGTCTTATGAGTCTATGATTCGGAATTATTCAGTTTAACTCCTCCTCCATTTGAGGTGATGAGATTAGAGGTGGTGAGTTTATCCCGGGAGGGGCATCTTGTTTAGGCTGGGCAGCAGCTGCAGAGTGGCCTGGTTTACAAGAAGGTTTACAGAGATAGAATAGGCTTAAGGACTATATCTGTGACTTTATGGCTATAGGCCATTCCTGTGTGAGGAAACTCCCTCTCCCAGTGCAGGTCACCACCCTTCTCTGCAGTCTTCCTTAGAGTCTTTGAGAGCTGCTTAGAGCACTGAGAAGTTAAGTAACTTACCCCAAGTCACACAGCCAGTTTGGGTCAGAGGCAGGACTTTATCATGTTGCCTTCAGAGATAGGTGGTATTGTTTGTCCTTCATTCTAATTCTCAAAGAGTACCAATAACTTCACAAGGGTGATGTCTTGACTTGCAAGCATATTGGTTTTCAATGAGGTAGAGCTGTGCAAAGTCATCCACCTCGCTCTTTCTTCCAGAGTCATTGGAACCCAGTGACAAGACATAGATCAGGGACGACTGGCGATGGCCCTAGATGCAGTGGGAGACCTTGGCCTTTTTAAGCTAGGGTCTTTTAAGCTAAAGTCTTTCCCAGGTCTAAGTTTGTCTGACAGAGATAGGCAAGTAGAAAATAAATATGAGGTAATTTGATGAAGGAAGGTACTAGCAGTTGGTGGGGTGGGGATGTGGAGGGAATTAGGAAAGGGCTCATGGGATTTGAGCTGAGCTTTGAAGAAAACTAGAAATTTTAAGAGGGGAGGTGAGCAGGGACTGCATTCAAGGCATGAGGGGACAGTCTGTTCTAAGATACAAAGACTAGAGATAGAAGGTTGTGGGAGAGCAACAGAAGGATGGTTAATTGGACCTAAATGCAGTATGTATGAAAGAGAATAGAATATAATAAGGCCAGAAGGTAGATTGGATTTGGGTTTTTAAGTGGTAAACAAAGTAGTTTGTATTCAATCTTATGGGAAATAGGGAACCACTGCAGTTTATTGAGCAGAAGAGTGACATGGTCAGGCCCAGGCTTTAGGAATGTCATTTTGGATGGTACGTGGTGGGTAGACTGGTGAGAGGAGATACACGAGGCAGGAAGGCCAACCAATTAGGAGATTTACTATAGTCCAGGCAAGAGGTAATGAGAGCTTGATGTAGGCTGGTGGTCACATCAATGAAGAGAAAGGGATGGATGTGAGAGATGTTATGGAGGTAGGATCAATAAGACTCGACATTTGATTGGACACATGAGATGAGGCAGACTGAAGAATAGAGAACCTGAGTAATTGGATGAACAATATTGTCCTCAACAGAAACAGGGAAATACAGAAGAGGGCTGTTATTGGGCAGGGGGGACGATGATGAGCTCCATTTTGGAGTTTGAGATGCCTATGGGACATCCAGGTGGAGGTGTGGGTGATGTGAGCTCAGGAGAGAGACTAGGGCTGGACATAAAGATTTGGGAATCATCTGCAGAGAGATGATCATTGAGCCTCCGGATGCTGTATCACTGGGTAAGATGGCAGAGAGGGAAAACAGAAGCTGGCCCATGAGTCTGGAGGTATTCCTACTCAATTAGAGTTGAGACTAGAATTTTAGTGTCTTCACTTACCAACGAGGGCTCTTTTCACTACGTGATGCTAATTCTTTCATCCTTATTATAATAACCAGTCTGATTACCCATCACTCCTTCTCACACAGTCTGTGATCCAGCCAGACCGGACTATGGCTTGTTGCCTTTACATCTCCCCATCTCCTGGGTTAGGGTTAGGGTTAGTGGTGCGATGAATAGAGCACTGGATTGGGAGTCAGGAAGACCTGAGTTCCAATTAAGCTTCTGATACTAACTAGCTGTGTGACTCTGAGCAAGTCAGTTCACCTCTGTTTGCCTCAGTTTCCTCAATTATAAAATGGGGATAAGAATAACACCTACCTTCTAGGATTTTTATGAGCATCAAAACAGATAAAATTTGTAAAGCACTTAGCGCAGTGCCTGGCACATAGTAGGTACTATATAAATGCTTATTCCCCTTCCTCCATCACTCAAATACTCTTCCTCCTCACCTTCATCCCAAATGCCACTTCTTACAAGAGGCCTTTCCTAATTCCTGGAAGAATTGTTTATTTCAAACACATTTTGTATTAACTTACAAAAATGAGAATAATTTTCCATTGCAGGTTTAAGGAACACTTCTCCCTTTGGGGTGAAGGAAATAGGAAAAGAGAGGGAGAGAGAGAAAGAGAGAGAAAGAGAGAGAGAGAGAGAGAGAGAAACATATCTGAAGAGAAGAGTTGAGAAAGAGGGGTTCTACTCAAAGGAGAAAGGGGACTAGAGAGGAAATACACAAGTTTTCTTCTCCAAACAATTTCTTCTTCTTTTTTTTTTTTTGGTGAGGCAATTGGGGTTAAGTGACTTGCCCAGGGTCACACAGCTAGTACATGTCAAGTGTTTGATCTGAGGCCAGATTTGAACTCAGGTCCTCCTGACTTCAGGGCCCATGCTCTATCCACTGTGCCACCTAGCTGCCCCTATTCTCCAAGCAATTTCTAACCCCAGTCACTGCTACATAAATATAATGCAAAGTGGAATGAGATGGAGACAAAAGACAGACCTAGACAATGTATAATAGAAAAATGTAATAACCTCTATTATCTGATTCAGTTCTCCATAATCTGGCTCCAACTTACCTTTCCAGCCTTATCTCATATTACTCTACATTCTACCTAATTAGCAGAACTACTAGCCTTCCCCCTACCTTGTATTGCCCTCTCTTAGCTGCATGCACTAGCCAAGCCCTCCCCCTACCTCTGCTCCCAGTTCCCCATACCCCACCACTATTTTGCCTTTTGAAGTTCATTTCTTCTTTCAAGCTCCAACACAAGGTTAACATCCTCCCAAGAAACCTTCCCGATCTCCCCAGATGAAAGTGACCTCTCTCTCAATTTTCTTATAATACCTGACCTAGACTTCTCCTTTTTCTTTATTACTGTTGAAAATGATAGGGTATTTGTTCCTTCCCTCTCCCTTTCTTACTTGAGTAACTGGGAAGAGCACCAGATGGAGTATTCATCAGAAAAT